CTTGCTTGAGGTCTTACAGATATTGCCACTTGGTACAAGTGTGGTTCATGCCTTGCTTGAGGTCTTACAGATACTGTTGCCACTTGGTACAAGTGTGGTTCATGCCTTGCTTGAGGTCTTACAGATACTATTGCCACTTGGTACAAGTGTGGTTCATGCCTTGCTTGAGGTCTTACAGATACTGTTGCTGCCTTATGTAGGTCTTACGAGACCGAGTCTTCCCGCTCGGGGTCTTATGGCTTCGGTTTTTTTATTTTTATTTTTATGAATGGTGATTGGCGATAGTCCCTGAGTTATCGAGGATCTTTCGGCTCGGGAGCCATTGCGATGGAGATGACGATTTGACGGTAGTCCCCGAGCTTATCGAGGATTTCTTGGCTCGGGAGCCATTACTTGCGAATTTGGTGTTGCCTCATTGAGGGCTTATGATTTTGGCGACTCCGACCCTGAGGTCATGCGATTTTTGAGATTTTGACGCCAGTCCCCGAGTGTTCGAGGCATTTTTGACCTTGGAGATGTTTTTTGATTTTCATGTTGCCTCGTTGAGGGCTTATGAGTTTGGAGTCTCGACCCGGAGGTCGTTTAGGTGTTGAATCGTCGATGCCAGTCCCCGGGTTTTCGGGACGTTTTTGACAGAGGGGCCGTTTTTCAAAAAATACCGAGTTTCTCTTGAGGCGTGATATGCTTTGATGAAAAGTATTCTTCAATCGCTTTGTACAAGTATACATGCCTTTGCTGTTAGGAGCTTGGTTGTTCTATGCGGACTTTGACCATTTGGTCCGGTACATTATTTTCCTATCGGAACCCTATTCGGCATGTCTTGGCTTCTCCGAGAAGGTGACCTTCCGAGGGGATGCCCCCCAGTATTTGAGGTTGATTGCAAAAGAGGCCTTGAATACTTGTTGAGTTTTCTTTAGGTAGCATATAGGTGTTGCCTCGTTAAAAACCTTGCCGGTAAAACCCTTTTTGGGATGAAACCCGGTCGAAGGAAAAGAGTGCAACGCATGCTTTTGAAACCTAAGGCCTTCGAGTTGGAGAGTGCTTTGGCCGTTTTGATCGATTACCTGCACTTAGGTCAGCGTAGAATATAATTGAAAGAGAAAATAGACGGTCATACCTTTGTGTGGAATGCTCCGGCGATGTTTCGACCATTTGTCCTGAGGACGCGGTGTGGTCCTTTGCTTTGTTTAGCTCGCACTTAGCCGAGGGCGTAGCTTGCTATCGCTATTTTACTGTTTGATTATCCTTTGGTCCTTCGAGGGTGGATGCACTGGTGTTGGTGTTACATCATGCACCGCGAACATTTCCTTCGTCCCATACTGTTACCCATAGATGGTTTGAATCCCATCCTTTGTCGGGATTTTCATCATTTGGTGGAGGGTGGACAATACTGCTCTCATGTAGTGTATCCACGGCCTCCCGAACAGGCGTTGTACCTCATGTCTCCTTCAATGACATGGAATTTGACATTTTGGGTTACGCCGCCCACATGGACTGGGAGGGTGATTTCCCCTTTCATTGTTTCACTCGCCATGTTGAATCCATTGAGGACTCGAGTGGCGGGCACGATTTGGTCAAGTAGTCCGAGCTGCTCTATTACCCTCGACCTGATAATGTTGGCCGAGCTACCTGGATCCATGAGTACACGTTTTATTTGAAATGTATTTACGAGGAAAGAGATTACCAATGCATCATTGTGAGGTTGAGACAAGGCCTCAGTGTCCTCTTCGCTGAATGTGAGGGCGTCTTCGGGTATGTACCCCCAGGTTCGCTTTTCTCTGGTGATGGATATTTTCGTCCTTCTCATCACGGGTTCTTGCGGAGCGTTGACGCCTCCCAAGATCATGTGGATGACATGCTGTGGCTCATTTGCATCGCTCTTCTTGGCCGCCTCTCTTTCCCGGAACTGATTTTTGGCCCGATCACTTAAGCATTCTCGGAGGTGACCTTTATTGAGTAGTCTGGCTACTTCTTCTCGGAGCTGGTGGCAATCCTCGGTCCTGTGGCCATGTGTGTTGTGAAACTCACACATTAAGTTATGACTCCTTTGCGAAGGATCCGATTGCACAGGTCTTGGCCACTTGGCATCTCTGATTTTGCTGATGGCGAACACGATGTCTGATACATCGACAATGTCTAATATACGATGTCCGAACACGATGTCTGATACATCTGATAGGCGATGTGCCTCTGCTGGCCCCGTGTGCCTATCAAACCCGGCTCTGTTGACGATTCCCCGAGGATTCTGTCCTCGGTCCATCCTTCGATTGTTGCGGGGTACGTTGCGCCTCGGGGCGTTCCTCTTATCTTCGATGTATGGTTGGTACCTTTCTTTGTTTGCTTTTGGCTCTTTTGCCAGAAGCCTGCTTGGATATACTGAGCCCGAGGGGGCCCCTAGCTAATCGTCCTCGACCCTGATTTTCGACTGGTATCGGTTATGAACATCCGACCAAGTCACGGTCGGGTACTCGACTAGGTTCTGCTTCAGCTGTTTCGAAGCCACCGAGCTTTGTTCGTTCAGACCTTGAGTGAAGGCCTGCACCGCCCAGTTGTCAGAGACCGGTGGCAGTTCCATTCGTTCCATTTGGAAGCGAGAAACGAACTCTCGCAGCATCTCATTATCTCTCTGTTTAATCTTGGAGACGTTGGATTTCCTTGTTGCTACTTTGATGGCGCCAGCATGCGCCTTGATGAAAGAATCCGCTAACATGGAGAATGAATCTACCGAGTTTGGGGCAAGGTTGTGATACCACATCATTGCCCCTTTAGAGAGCGTTTCCCCGAACTTTTTCAGCAGGACGGACTCGATCTCGTCGTCCCTTATGTCACTACCCTTTACTGCACAAGTGTAGGCGGTGACGTGCTCGTTGGGGTCTGACGTTCCGTTATACTTTGGGAGGTCGGGCATTCTGAACTTCTTTGGAATGGGTTTCGGGGCCGCTTCCTGTGGGAACGACTTCTGTACGAACTTCTTTGAGTCCACACCTTTCAAGATCGGGGGCGCTCCTGGAATTTGGTCGACCCTGGAGTTGTAAGTCTCGACCTTCTTATCGTTGGCTTCTATCATTTTCTCGCCCTATTCAATCCTTCTGGTGAGGTGCTCGACCATCTTTACGATGACGGGATCGGACATCGACCCGTTATTGCTCGATCTCTCTGGTGCCTGTTCGGCCGGGGGAGCTGTCCCCGGTGCTACCGTGCTAGGAGTTTTCTGGTGGCTTTGCAGCTGAGCAATAGCCAGCTATTGTGCCTGCAACATTTCAAAAATAACATGAAGGCTAACCTCCCGTTCTTCCCGGGCTGGGGGTTTCTGGGCTTCCTGTTGGTCACCTTGGTTTATGGTCCTGTTAGTGTGGGAGCTTATTCGACGTGTTGAGCGTCGCGCGAGACTTCGTCCACTGGAACTGGTCCTGGTGCGTTCTCAAGGTTTCGTGGTGGTTCACCAACACCTGGAACGACTACACCATTCTCCTGTGGTTCTCAAGGTTATTGTTTACTGAATCAGACATTCTCACCTGAAATCAAAGATCTTTGGACAAGAAAAAGCGTGAAAGGTAACTTGCGTTGTGTAATGGAACCACCAAGAAAATAATCACTATTATTTTTAGCCCCACGGTGGGCGCCAAACTGTTTATAGTGAAAATGGTAACAACAATTAAATTTGATATGGGACTCTAAAAATACATGATCTATTTTTATGCCGGTTGTTAAGCAGTTGATGCTATGTATGTGAGACTTAGGAATGAAATAAGAGTTAAGGATAAGGTGATGATCAAACTGATATGTTAACAATCGGGCCTCGAGCTTGTCGGTTCGGGAGCCTCGAGGTCGATTTCGGGGCTCAACGGTGAGCTATCAAAGGTAATCGAAGTATGATTAACAGTTATGATAAAATCAAAGAGGCTCTTCGTGGCCAATGATAAGCAATAAATGATGAACAATAATGAAGATAATAAATGGAAGCAGTAATATCAAGCGAATATGTTAGCAAGCAGAGAGAATGTTGTTTTATATTTCCTGTTGAAGCAACAGGTCCTTACAAAATGACAAGGACTCCCTTTATATAGGAGGGAAATCCCCACATAGTACAAAATACATTAATTACATAGATATGGGGATGGGACGGCTGAATGACGCCTTGATTTGGGTTCAGAGTAGCCCGCTAGACTGTATCAGACCTAGCTTGCGTGCCTTGGGAACTCCCCATTTCCACCACAACCGTGATCATTACTACCTTGGGGTCGAGTGTTGTCGACCCTCGAGGAAAGATATTCAGCCGCGGCCTCGAGCCTTCGAGGTGATCCCGCGGCCTCAAGCCTCCGAGGTGATCCCGCAGCCTCGAGCCTTCGAGGTGATCTTCCGAGTGCCTTAATGGCGAGAAATTGGACCCTCCGATTGTGCCATATACAGCCGCATCACAACGTAGGGCCTCACTCACTCATCAGCGAGTACAAATTTGGTTTTCTCACGATTAATCACTCCTCCCCGATAGTGCTTGACTCTATGTCCGTTCACCAAAAATTTTCTTTCACCGTTTTTAGTTCGCAACTCAATTGCACCATAAGGAGTGATTCTCACCACCTCAAAAGGGCCTGACCATCTCAATTTTAACTTTCCAGGAAACACCTTGAGCCTAGAATTGAACAATAATATCTGTTGGCCTGGATCAAAGTGACGCGGCTTGATGTGCGTGTCATGCCATCTTTTGTCTTTTCTTTGTAAAGCTTAGCATTTTCATAAGAGTGTAGCCTGAACTCATCTAACTCATTCAACTGCAAAAGGAGTTTCTCGCCCGTGGCTTCAAGGTCCATGTTCAGCTTTCAATATGCTTTGTGTTCAAGTTCAACGGGCAAGTGACATGCCTTCCCATAAACTAACTTGTACGGTGACGCCCCAATTGGCGTTTTATATGCGGTTCTGTATGCCCATAAGGCATCATCTAACTTTACAGCCCAATCCATCCTATTCACACTCACCGTCTTCTCTAGGATTTGCTTTATTTATCCGTTTGATACCTCAGCTTGCCCACTTGTTTGAGGATGATATGCTGTAGCAACTCTGTGGCGAACTCCATATTTAGCTAGAAGGTTATTCAACCGATTGCAAAAATGAGTCCCCTCATCACTAATTAAGGCACGTGGAGTCTCAAACCTCGAAAATATGTTCTTTTTCACAAACGCAGCAACCACCATGGCATCATTTGTTGGCAAGGCAATTGCCTCCACCCATTTTGATACGTAGTCAACTGCTAGCAAAATGTATTTGTTTCCTCTGGACGATGGGAAAGGTCCCATAAAATCTAACCCTCGCACATAAAAAATCTCAACTTCCAGGATGTTATTCAAAGGCATCTCATGCCTCCTTGTGATTATTCCTGTTCTCTGACATTGGTCACACTTCTTAACAAATGCATGGGCATCCTTGAATAAAGTTGGCCAAAAGAGACCGGATTGTAGTACATTTGCAGCTGTTCTATCTCCTCCATGATGGCCCCCATAAGGTGATGCGTGACAATCATACAACACTAATTCTACCTCATTTTCTAGAATGCATCTCCTCATCAACTGATCAGCGCATTGCTTGTACAAATATGGCTCATCCCAATAGTAGAAGTTCACATCGTGCAGAAACCTCTTTCTAGCTTCAGATTCAATTTCAGGAGGAAGTACCCAACTCACAAGATAATTCACATAGTCTGCGTACCATGGGGGAGGGTCTTGGGTTATAGCAAAAAGTTGATCATCAGGAAATACCTCTTTAATTTGGCCACCCTCCTCCACGTGTTCGTGATTTTCCAGCCTTGATAGATGGACAGCTACTTGGTTCTCAGTGCCCTTTCGATCTCGTATTTCTACATCAAATTCCTGCAACAACAAAACCTAGCGCATCGATCTAGCCTTAGATTCTTTTTTTGTAAATAGGTACCTGATGGCTGCATGATCAGTATGGACTCTGACTTTTGTTCCCACCAAGTATGCTCGAAATTTCTCAAAGGCCCACACTACAGCTAACAACTCCTTTTTAGTGGTGGTGTAATTCAGCTGTGCATCATCAAGAGTCTTACTCGCATTGTAGATGGAATAAAATACATTGTCTTTCCTCTGGCCTAGCACTATCCCAATAGCATGGTCACTCGCATCACACATAAGTTCAAATGGTAAGGACCAATCTAGTGCCACAATAATGGGAGCAGCCACCAACTTCTTTTTGAGTTCTTCAAATTCCTTGAGGCAAGCGTCATCAAAATTGAAAGTTACATCTTTTTCAAGCAACCTGCACAAAGGAGTAGCAATTTTAGAAAAATCTTTAACAAAGCACCGATAGAATCCCACGTGTCCCAAGAAACTCCCGACTCCCTTCACAGAAATGGATGGAGGTAATTTCTCAACTGCCTCCACCTTCGCCTTATCAACTTCAATGCCGCTCCTGGACACTCTGTGACCCAACACGATGCCTTCTTGTACCATAAAATGGTACTTTTCCCAATTCAATACCAGATTTATTTCTTCACAATGGGCCAGCGCTTGCTCAAATTCTTCAAACAATCAACATAAGAAGACCCAAAGACTGAAAAGTCATCCATAAAACTTCCACAAATTTTTCCACCATGTCGGTAAAAATAGCCATCATGCATCTCTGGAAAGTGGCTGGTGCATTACAAAGACCAAACGACATCACTTGAAGGCAAACGTGCCATAAGGACAAGTAAAAGTGGTCTTCTCCTGGTCCTCTGGGCATATGACAATCTGATTGTATCCCGAATAACCATCAAGGAAGCAATAATATTCATGCCCGGCTAATCTGTCTAGCATTTGGTCAATGAATGGAAGTGGAAAGTGGTCCTTGCGGGTTACTTTATTGAGCCTTCTATAATCAATGCAGACTCTCCACCCCGTCACAGTGCGATTAGGAATTAGCTCATTTTTCTCATTCTCAATCACAGGCATCCCTCCCTTTTTGGGCACACATTGAATTGGGCTTACCCAGTTGCTGTCAGAAATAGGAAAGATGATACCTGCATCGAGCAACTTGATTACTTCTTTTTTCACAACTTCTTTCATAATGGGATTTAACCTCCTCTGCTGCTCCACACTGTGGCGGTGTCCATCCTCCAAGAAGATTTTATGCATGCAAAATGATGGACTAGTTCCCTTGATGTCAGCAATGGTCCACCCAATAGCCTTTTTATGCTCGCGGAGTACTCTGAGCAATTTTTCTTCTTGAGTGTTAGTCAAGCTGGAGGAGATAATCACGGGCAATGTCTCAGAGTTCCCCAAATAAGCATAACGTAGGTGCGGTGGTAGAGGCTTAAGTTCTAGCTTTCGAGCTTTTTCAATAGATGGCTTAGGAGGGGTCAGAGTGACAGGTCTGTCCAACTCCTCAAATTTTCCAAACCCATGGACATAGTTGCAGGACATATCAAGAACTTGCTCAATTTCTCCCATCATTTCATCTTTACTATCTGCTTCATCCCCAATCAAAGCTCGTTTAAGAGGATCTACAGGGCTCATATAAGGCACTAATGACGTGGCATCACTTTCCACCACAGAAATCATGGATAGCTCTTCATAATGGGCTGGTAACTTGAGTGCTTTATAAACATTGAATACCTCCACTCAATCACCCACTCTCATTGTCATTTTTCCTTCGCAAACATCGATAATAGCTCGGCCCGTGGCTAAGAATGGACGCCCCAAAATAAATGGGACTTCCTGATCAGGCTCGTAATCCAAGATAATGAAATCAGCAGGGAAGATGAAAGAACCCACTTGAACTAACACATCTTCAATCACTCCTTTAGGATGAGCGAGGGAGCGATCAACCAACTATAAGATTACTGTTGTTGGGCGTGGCTCACCTAACCCCAACTGTCTGAATACAGATAGCGGCATCAAATTGATGCTCGCTCCAAGATCATATAAAGCTCGCCCAACTGCATGTTTACCAATCGAGATTTGGATAGTGAAACTACCTGGATCCTTCAATTTCTGAGGTAACTTGCCTTGAATTCTTGAACTACACTCCTCAGTGAGTGCCACAGTTTCAAACTCGGTCAGCCTCCTTTTATTTGCCACTATGTCCTTGATGTACTTTGCATATTTGGGTACTTCTTGTGAGATGTCAACCAATGGAATATTAATTTGCACCTGCTTCAAAATATCAAGAAACTTTTTATATGCGGTGTTATCCTTTACTTTCTACAATCTTTGAGGGAATGGAGGTGGTGGCCTTGAAACCACTGGTGGGGGTTGCTCAGCCACCGCCTCTCCAGCTGGCTTCTCTGACTCCTTAGATTTTTCTGATGTTGATTCTATAGTGGCTGGCCTCTCATTAAAAGTCACTTGTTTCCTCTTTTTCGACTGAACTTCTTCTAATTGTCTCCCATTCCTCTACGACACGACATTAAGGGATGCCTTAGGATTAGCTTCAGTATCACTTGGAAGAGCTCCAACTGGTCTAGTGTTTTGAGCATTGGCAAGCTGTCCTATTTGGCTCTTCAAATTTCTCATTGTTGCGGCTTGGGCTTGCTGCTCAGCCATAAATTTCTGAGCGAGGGCTTGCTGTTCAGCCATCACTTTTTTTAACATGTCTTCAAGGTGACTTGTTCGACTCGCTTGTTGTTCAGCCTGAGGTGGTTTATATTGCTGTTGAGGTGCTTGAGGCCTGTATTGATTCTGAGTACCTTGGTTTCCACCCCAAGAGAAGTTTGGGTGGTTCCTCTAGTTGGGATTGTAAGTGTTCCCATATTGATTTGTTTGGCCCCTATTTGCATTACCCACAAAGCAGACAGACTCTAGATTAGCGGGGCATAAGTCGCTCGTGTGACCCTCTCCACATATTTCACAAAACACTTGAACATGTTGTACCGGTTGTGCTTGTTGATAATCAAGGTCATCTGATTGACTTGGTTGGTCAGTGTAGAAATCTGCGCTGATAATGCCGAGACGACATCTAACTTAAGAACCCCTGGAGACTTTTGCTCTATGTGTCTGCACATCTCTCCTTGCTAATCCGGATTGCTTTTGGAGAATTTGTTCAATGATGCATATATCTCGTCAAAGCTTTTCTCCAACACTTGACCTCCAGCTGCAGCATCTACCACAATCTTTGTTTCAGGATGTAGACCTTCTATGAAAGTGTGAGCTAATACTTCTCTTGTCTGATTGTGATGAGGACAGTCTCTGATTAGCCCCTTGAACCTCTCCCAAGCTGAGTATAAAGACTCCCGCTTTCTGTTTGAAGGCAACTATATCACTTCGGATCTTTACAGTTTTGGCTGAAGGGAAGAACCTTGCCAGAAATTTCCTTGCCAAATCATTCCATGAGGTAATAGAATTAGCTGGTTCTGCCTTCAGCCATCGCTTTGCTTCGCCCAATAGTGAGAATGGAAAAAGTGTGAGCCTCACATAGTCTGGAGTGACTCCGTTAGTGATATAAGTGTCACTAATCTCCAAAAAGTTCAGGATATGTTGTTGTGGATCCTCGTGTGGAAGACCCATAAACTGCCCATTCGCATGAAGTAGCTGGATCATGCTTTATTTCAGCTCAAAGTGCCCAGTGATTCTGGGCTTCATAATGTTAGAGGTGACATTGGCAATGCTGGGCATCGCCACCTCTTGAATAGCCATTTGTTGCTCCTCTACCATGTTCCCAGGAAATTGAACGAGTGCCTGAATATTATTCGTATCCCTTGCTTCCCTCAACCTCCTGTGAAATGCTCTCTCAGGTTCAGGGTCAAAGCCTTGAAGTCGGTCCTGGCTTCTGACCCTAAGCATTCAATCAAAGTTCCTGAGATCCGAGCAACAATCAAGTAATGTTAGACTTGACTAAATAAACAATTAAAGCAAAAACTAGAAAGTAGTTAATATTCAAGTCCCCGGCTACAACGCCAAAAACTTGTTGCTCCCAAACGCACACGCAAGTATACGTGGTCGTACAAGTAATAAAATGATAAGTCAAGTGTCGAACCCACAGAGACTTGTATCAACTACCCACTAAAATCACCAAGATTGTTATTCAGTCAAGCCAAAATCACGTTCAAGAATGTGATTATACTAAACTACAATTCTAATTTATAACTAAATTATCAAGCAGTAGAATGATTATTATGTATTCATTAGAGACAATTCCAGGATTGTGATCGATTCACCAATCCTATTGTGTTCTAGTTAAGTCTCCCTCTCATACAATTCACTCATGGTTGCTAATTAATCGATAATTGCTCTCATAGCTGTCATGACCCAAATCGATGGGCCGCGACGGGCACCTGTTACCTTACTCAATCGAGTGCCAACATAACGTATCTTTTTGTATCATGATATCAAAAGTAAATGAGACAGAAACGCTGCCGTAGGATAACTAGAATGAAACGTGTAATACCAACTTATATATAAGACATGCGGGCCTATAAGACCAAAATGATCACTCGTATACCAAACATAGGCCGACAAGGCCATACAATCTTTTACGTACATGACATATGTCTACAAGACTCTAAGAATATATATTATCATAAAGGTCAGGATAGGGTCCCACCATACCAATCAATACATGTACTAATCATACTGACCAAAGAAGCAACTCCGGAGCAAATGGAGCACACCAACACCTTCCGCTGAGCTGATAGCCTACTTGGAGAACTCTTGACTTGTCTATCAGGACCTGCGGGCATGAAAGGCAATGTCCCCAAGCAAAAGGGACGTCCGTACGAATAATGTACCGAGTATGTAAAGCACATAAATAAGTACAAAACAGACATGGAAGAAACATAGAGTAAATGATTCGACCTGTAAGTCGGGATAACTCTGTAAATCATGAAATAATTATAGTGTCATGCATATGCGTATGAATGTCATGTCATGCATAGGTACATGTTTTATAACATCGTCAGGCCTCTGAGGGCATCCCATCATATCATCTCGGCCACTGTGAGAAAAATCATCAACGTATGCCAGCTGATCAGGTGGTGGTGCGTATATAACGCCATAACCTTTCCCATATCCCATATACATATATATACATATATATACGCGCATATAACGCCATTTGGTCATGGTTCAATGTGCATGTATAAATGCATGAAATGAATATGAAATACCTTAATAAAATCTCTCGGTACGTCATAATACCATTATACCTTTGAGTAACATCATGAAGTAAACTTTTTCCAACTTACGTATTTTTCTGAGACCCATGAACAAAAGATGTAATAATAAGACACATGGGAATTCAAGAACATAGGCACCTCTACTACTTCTATGAATGAAGTCATTTATGAAAGTTGTGTATTTTCTCGTTTCGTTTGTGTCGTATAGATCATGTCAAAAAGAAAGAAGGGATAGCCTTAACATACCTGGAGTAGGGAAAACTCTGTATAATATTCTTGGAGAAGATTGCACCGTACTCCTTTAGAATCGCAAAATTTTACGTTGCTACGGTTCTAATAATTCTCGTTGGAATTTGTTTGGTTGCAAGAATTTCGTTGAAAGCTTTTTTTTTTTGGATTGCGTTTAGCTGCTGTTCGTGAAGAATTTTGAAGAACGTTTGGTTGCAAGAATTTAGCTTCTGTTCATAAGAACGTCTTTGATTTTTTTTGTCCAAAATGAAATGAACCAAAGACTTTTAATAAGTCTTATATGTTAAAGTCCTATTTCCTTAGGTAGCCACCTAGGCATAGAATGACTAAGAGTCATTCTCTTAGTCTTGTGGCTTTGTGCTACGTTTTGGGGGAGGAATTTAATTTTATCCACTAAATTTATTAATCAACTAGGTAATATTCCGTTACCCGGTAATTAATCAATTACCCGTATAATTAAAAATTACCTTTAATTACTTAAAATTCTACTTATTTTTAATACACTTTATACATCCTACTATCATGGTCATATGGTACCTTTTATGGCACTAATCCATAAATACCGGATATTATAGCTCAGACCGTATTTTATCCCAAATTGACAAACTTTGAGGAATTTCATTTTCTCCGATTTGCATACCCTCTCTCTTTCATGAATATTTTCATCACTTGTTTGGAATAGCATAATACTTATAATCCCAAAATAATCTCATTCCCGAGCTTACATTGATTAACTTACAACGAAATATTAACGTAAAAAAAATATGGGACGTAACATCTCATTTCCGAGCTCTCGTCAATTTATTTATGGCGTACTTTCATATACGAAAATGTGGGGTGTAACATCATCCCCCTCTTTGGAACATTCGTCCTCGAATGTTGGCTGATGCACTTGTCATTCTCATAACCCACAACTCTTGCAAATACTTTAGTACTCCTCTTGCCATTTCGGCAACTGTTTTGTGAATGAATCCCAAAGGCCAAGGCATTCCCCTCTTTAGACCTCTTTCTGGCACCACAATTTTTAGTCAGAATTCTTCCAATCTCGTAACTGTTGATACCTTCTATCATGCAGCCTGTACGACTCTAACCTTATAAGTGTGCCATGCGACTCTTTCTTCCTTTTCCTCCAGTTTTTAGCCAATCTCTAGGCCTCATTTTATATACAGAGCTTGACAAGATGTCCTTCTGGGCATCTAT